AATGATGGACAGGATTATTAGATGAGATCAGTCTTGGCTGAAGTGTCGAGCTAACGGTTTGATTCCTGGCTGATCTCGTCTGTTTGAGAGGATCTGAAATGACAAGGTGCTCCATGAATGTAGAAGTGTGTGTGTGTGTGTGTGTGGATGACTGTTATAGAGAGGAAATGGCTACATTATTATTATACTCCAAAGTAGTACAAAAGCTAGGAGGAGTTTCTTAAGTACAGGCTTGTCAGGTAGTGGAAGAAAAAAAAAAAGATGAAAACACACAGGCCTAACAATAGTGTTAGTGTTTTTTTAACATAAAATCCATATTTGACCTGATCAACATTTATGAACACTGATCGCACACGTCTTTTAGATTTAAAACAAGAGCAGCTTCACACCGGACCTCCTGGGTGCGAGAGCTTTTGGTTTATTAAGTTGTCAGAAATCAATATTCCTCCTGGGACACGACAACAAGCTGTAAACACGGCCCTGGAGTCACGTTTGTGGTCGTTCGGACTTCAACTGAAGTCCGATATTCCCTCTGCTTCCAGCTGCACTCAATATTCTGTCACTTTTCCAGAATATCTTGAGCTCTTTAGTTGATGATGAAAGAGAGAGTGGGATGTGAGGTGAATTACACGACAGATATTAAAACTCATCGATGCCAGTTTCACCATCGTCTAAACTAAATTCCACATCTTTTTTATAGCGCCTCCTGTAGGTTGCTAACCTGGGTTTTGATGTGGAAAAACTCCAAAGACAACATTACACTTACACTAACCTGGGTTTTGATGTGGAAAAACTCAAGAATCATTACACTTACAACTAGATTTGATCCTTTTGGGATTGTTACCACTGGACGATGTTGCTGTTGATCAACTCGATAAAGACCTTTGGGTCAAATATGGATTTGCACATATTTGACAGAACATGTAAAGTTTGCTATTCAACAAGAACCAATGGGTGAAATGAAAAATACAAGTCTCTTATACAGAGAGTTGGATTGTATTTTTTACAAAGAAAAAACCCCAACAAAAAAACCCAAATCTGTTGCCATGGGAACCAAGGTGAGCAGTTGAGACAAAGTCATAAATCATGAAAGTTTCAGGTGTTTATTACAGAGGTCAGAACTTTGAAAGCAGCTGCACTACATGACTGGACAGGACGGCGGTGCTGTGGGCCGCAGTCCTGACATTATCAAAGGAGCTCGGCTGCTTTAGCTCTGCTGTGTTTCTGGGTTCTAAGTCATCGAGGTCATCGTGGAGTCTGGGAATAATCCCCAAGATTCCAGAAACAAAGTGACAAAGTTTCAGACGGATTTCTTTATCAGTTCAAAGCCAATTGTCATATCTATGGCACCGATCCTGACTTGACTTGATATTTTAATCTTTTTGTTTAAACTCTCTGTTGCGTTGACGGCCATTTTCCCTCCATTGATCTTCATGTGTTTGACTGATCTGTTCAGATCCAGTTCTGTGTTCAACATTTAATGGCCTTTTAGCCACTTAGGATAATACTTAGCATCTCTCTCTCGCCCTCTCTCACTCTGTGTGTTTGTGTTTGTGTGTGTGTGTGTGTGTGTGTGTATTAATGATCCTCCTTTTTAAATTTTAATGTCTTTGTTCCACTGTTGTCAGGGAGATTTACCACTGAGCCCGATGGGAAATGTCTACCCTACACACACACACACACATAATTAGTTTTGGGGATATTTTCACATCCACAATAGCAGTGTATTAACAGATAGTGCTTATTTATTTATTTATTTATTTATTTTCTGTTAATTCTTGCTCGCAGCTACAATCCCTGCTTCTGTTTGAATTCCTTTAATAAAGGTTAAAAAAAAGAGCTTAAACAGCAAATATCAGTTTAAATGTTTTGTTTGGACTCATTCTTATAAATAGAGAACAGTAATGTCTCCGATGTGGTAAAAAAAAACAAAAAAAACAGACATCATTAGGACAGGCCTTTATACGTACAGTGGGTTGATTTGCATTTTCATTACTGGTCCAGGATTTAGGCTTTACCGTCATCTGTCAGTGAAGTCCCCTCCCCCCCCCCCCTCCCCGCTCACCTCCTCCTCCTCCCTCCCCTCCTCCTCTCTCACCTCCTCCCTCACCTCCCCCCTCACCTCCCTCCCTCCTGCCTTTGTAAGCATGTAGACCAGGGGTAGAGAACTTAATTCCTATCAAGGGCCACTTAAAATTTTATGACCTCCCTGGTGGGCCGTTCTGAAATATTGAACACATATATTATATTTTGTTGCTCGTTTCTTGTGCATTTGTTCCGCCCTCATTTGTTTGTGCCTTTGTGAATTTAACTATCGCCTGAGAAGCATTTGCATTTGTTATTTTAATTTTGGCTTCTTTTTTTTTTTTTATGGATATGGATTTTATGGATAAGTACTGCAAGTAATATTTAGTATAATTTGCTCAAGTCACTCAGCGGTAGTACAGTAGACTTTATGATGGGAAGAACTAAGATGGCTTAAAAAAAAGTCGAGGTGCGGAAGTAATTACGCTGACTTCGACGGTACTTTTGTTTACGACCGAGCTCCCAGGACATATTACTCTTCTCGCTGCCTCCTTTAGGTACAAATACAGAAAACTAAAACTGACCTCTGATTAAATAACACCACCTGTGCCACAGGCAGAGGACACAGAGTCTCCAGGTACGTTAGGAAACAGTCTGCCCAGGTCTCAGGAGGCGACGTCCAAATATCTTTCATTATTTCAAGCAGCTGCTCTGTTGGTTTTTTGAACCAAAATCATTGGTGTTAACCTACGACCTCTGCTCGGAACGATGATTAACACATAACTTGGGCCGATACTTTTTTCTATTTTTCATGTCGCCTTAAAAATCTGATACTTTTTTCTATTTTTCATGTCACCTCAAACATCATACATAATAAAATGTAATATTGAGAGTTCACCGCAGACATACTGTATATTTTTTTTGTAATTGAATAATACAATAAAGATGACTGTGAATCAGGAAACTACCCGCACAAGTATGTCATGATAATCTGATGCGAAGAAACCCAAAGATATGTTCGAGTGAACAGTGCTTTTTCCCAGGGTTTTACCAGGTCATGCTGTGTAAACGTTGCCACAAAAAAAAAAACAACAGGAAGTGAAATATTGCGGGAGAGCGCTGTGACATTGGTTCAGTTTGAAGTTCTGATGAAGTCGCAGGGATTTTCCAGAATTGCAAAAGTGACCTGAATTCACACGGATTGGTTGAATTTGTGGGACACACATTTCGCAATCCTGGAGTGAGTGATATTTTCTGTTATCCAACGGGAAGAGACATTTTCCCTGTAACTATAAATTCATCTGGATTCATTTTTTTTATACCACACTCTTAGACACTACACGTACGTACATCCATAAAACCTTAAATACTGCACTCCATGCCAGGCATCGGTGCCACATGCCATCAGTGAAGAGGCTCAGGTGAAAACACACCCATAAACCCCGTCCCCGGCCTCCAAACGCCCTGACGCTGTTATAGATAAATAACATCGAATATAAAACTGGAGTGAAGTGAACGCAGCATTTGTGAGAGTGCACTGTAAAAAGGTTATTAGTGCAGTAAATGTGGACAAACAGGGGAGAGAACACCGTGAGCAGATGTAAATGGATGCTTTGTGACCTCGTAACCTTCAGCAGCAGCAGCAGTGCAGCAGCACGAGCGCTGAGTGGGTCGGATGAGGGGAGGTGGGTGGTTTGAAATCTAAATTGTATTAGAAACAAGCCGGGAATGAAAACGGTGAACTGAACGGCTAATCAGACTAATTAGAGAATGGATTAAACATCAAACCTTGTGTCTCCATGTTTGCTCCCCTGTGTGTGATATTCTGAGTCTCTTTTGTCTTATCTGAAATGAGGACCTACTGTAGCTCTTATTTATACGTTAAACAAAGCATTTTTTTAGTTTATGAATGGTGCTGTTAAAGGGGGGGGGG